AGGTGGGGGGGGGGTGGCAGGTCCCCAAGGGGCTGAGTGGAGTTGTCTCGGCAAGAACCAGGACAGCAGAAGAGGAAGAGGGATATGGGGGCAGCAGCAGACACCAGGGGATCAGATGGGGTGAGGGGAGGAGACATGGCAGCAGAAGGAAAAGGGAGAGGTGTATAAGATATTTATTAATAACTTGGGTGCCACAGTGGCACACATCCAAGCAAGCCACATGAACTCAGTACTGGTGCACAAGACAAAATTCACTCTGCTCATGGGAGGAAGATCTTAGAGGGAACCTGCCCCATGTCTCCTTCCCCGCATCAAGTAGTGAAATGTCCCAGAAAGCTCCGGACATCGGCTTGTGGGAAGAAGGGACGAAGAAATGGCTCCGTGTCATTGTTCCTCATGCAGCACAGCAGCCTCTCCCCCGCCCCCCTCTTAGCAAGGTATGTAGGCAGCTCCATTGGAGCTTTGCTGGTGGGCACCTGGGCCAGCTTCCAGTGGTGTGCAGCCCCACCCTCTCCCCGCAGGACCGTCTCTTCCACGCTGGGTCCCAATCCAGTGACACCATTTCCTCCTCTTCCAGGCCACTTGTTAGTACCACTGCTTCTGGGGGGCCAGGCAGGTCCAAGACAAAACCCAGTGGAGCTGCTCCCAGACCTCCATGCCATGGAGCCCCAGCAGGAGCCACACAGAGCCCGGCTCAGGCACTGCAGGGTGAGGCATGCTCAGGCTCAGCAGATGCCGAGACTGCATCAGAGGCTGCCCACAATGCTATTTTTACTGTGGCGGTCTGGATCCCCGCAAGTTGCCTGGCTCCAGCTGAAGTCAAATGGCAGCCACACAAGGTGCATTCCAGCTGGGGCAGCCTCATTGGAACAGGCCTCATGCAGCTGCTGTTTTACTCCAGGCCACCCACGGGGACTGGGACCGCGGTACTAAAAATAGCATCACGGGCATCCTCTGCTCCCATCCCGGCATATGGTACCATCCTGGAATCAGCTGGGATCGGGCCCACAGTACTAAAAATAGCACTGTGGTCCCAGCTCCAGCCCCTGCAAACTGCATTGAAGACAGATGGTGAGGGAGGGGTGGGGGAGACCTAAGAGGCTGCGTTTAGACTGGCATGATTTTGCAGAAATACTTTTAACAGAAAAGTTTTTCCATTAAAAGTATTTGCACAAAAGCATCCGTGGCCAATCTAGATGCGATTTTGTGCAAGAAAGCCCCAATTGTCATTTTAGCCATCGGGGCTTTTTGGGGCAAAACAGTTCTTCCCTGTTTACACTGGCCCTCTTACGCAAGAGGGCTTTTTCCCGAGCGGGAGCATGAAAGTATTTGTGCAAGAAACACTGATTTTGTACATTACAAAGTCAGTGTTCTTGCGTAAATTCAAGTGGCCAGTGTAGACAGCTGGCAAGTTTTTGCGCCAAAATCTTGCCAGTCTAGACACACCCAAGGGGAAAGAGGGGTGAGGAGAGAAAGAGGCTTGTGCTGAGGGGAGGGCAGGCACGGCAGGGGAAGGAGGCACGGCAGGAGAAGAAAGGAGAAGGCACCAAGGGGCAGGGTGGAGGATAGACAAATGCCAGGGGCCCAAAAGGAGGCAATGAGGAAAAGGGCAGGATGGGAGGGAAATATCAGTTAGGGCGGGAGAAGGGAGGGAACAGGGTGATGCTGGGTGAGGAAAGGGGAGGGACAAGAGGGCTGTGTCTAGACTGGCCAGTTTTTCCGCAAAATCAGCTGCTTTTGCCAGCTGTCTACACTGGCCACTTGAATTTCCGCAAGAACACTGACGATCTCATGTAAGATTGTCAGTGTTCTTGCGGAAATACTATGCTGCTCCCATTGGGGAAAAAGCCCTCTTGCGCAAATCATTTGCGCAAGAGGGCCAGTGTAGACAGCACAGTACTGTTTTGTGCAAAAAAGCCCCGATGGCTAAAATGGCGATTGGGGCTTTTTTGCGCAAAAGCGCATCTAGATTGGCATGGACGCTTTTGCGCAAAAAGTGCTTTTGCGGAAAAGCATCCGTGCCAATCTAGACGCTTTTTTCCGAAAATGCTTTTAAGGGAAAACTTTTCCAGAAAATCATGCCAGTCTAGACGTAGCCTAGGGGTAAGAGGAAGGAAGAGGAGAGGAGAGGGGAGGAGTGAGTGCCAGGAGAAGAGGGGTTGAAAGGAGGAGTGGGCATGAGGAAGGCAGGGGATGGAGCAAGTCATGTGTGAGGGCACAGAGGGCCATGAGGGGAATTAGGGCAGAGGATGGTGAGGGGCTGGGCACCAGGGAGAAAGAGGGCAAGGAGGGAAGGGGGAGGCACCAGGAGGGCTCACGGGAAAAGGAATGTGCAGGTGCCAGGGTATTCTGGGGGGTCAAGCAGAAGAGCAGACATGTGGAGGGGAGGGACAGGCACCAGAGGAGAGAGGCAGGGTAGATAGATAGAGGGAGGTGTTAGGAGAGGGGATGGGGAGGGGTAGCTACAGATGATCAGTGGGGCTAAAGGAGGAGTGGACACAGGGAAGAGAAGGGTTGGTGCAGGGC